ATGTTGAAAAGTGGAAATAAATGAGCCTTAGAATTATTGATTTTAAAAAAGCAGAATAAATGATATGCAGGCAGACATGCCTGCAGAGATGACAAACTGGGAGGAAATACTCTAACATATAACAGCAATTTTCTGATAAAGGTGGTAAAATTAGTTTTTTTTTTTTTAAGAGACTGCATTTTCCAGAGCTTTCTAAAGTGGGTACATATTTAGTGACCATAGAGGAAGCAGGAGCAATAAAATAAGGTGGTGTAAGTTGGGAGGGGGATGATTTTACATGGGATGGTCAGGGAGGACTTCTCGGAAGAGGCAATACCTGAACTGAAAAGTAGCCACCATGGAAGCAGTACCTGAACTCTTCATTAGTGCTTCCAGGGTCAGGATAGGGCCTGAGTCAGGGCAGATGTTTGATACATATTTGGGTTTTTTTAAATCAAATTTTATTTACCTTTTATTTGCAAGAATATATAGTTTCAGGAACACAGCTTCACTTGATACATATTCACTGAACAAGAATTAAGCAAAGGCTGCTGAAGAGAGGCCCTAGCTCTCACAGGGGTACTAACCTGAACCTGGTTCTTTAGTAGGTCATTCTCACCTAAGGCCAGGGCAAGCATGAGCAGCAGGCATGCTCCAGTAGGGCCTGTGTGAGCCCAGGAAACCTCCCTCCAACCTGAGATCCCATCTCAGGAAACTGACCTTGCTCTCTTGCCCAGCTTGGGAAAAGATGCCACATCAGCTCCAGCCTTCCTTCCCACCTGTGCTCCCTGTGCTTACCCAGACACTCTGCAGAAGCCTGGGCTAGAAAGTGCAGAGAGATGAAAGAGGGGGCCTGCCCTGGGGAGTCACAGCAGCCTGGGACAACCAGAGAACAGACTCAAGGGCCCTCGTAGGGTGAGCCTTGGGCCTGGCTGCAGGTCAGGAGAGCTGGATGACAGGTTCCAGATGAGAAACGCCTAATTTGTAAGACAGTAACAATAGCCACTGATCAGGAGAGTCACTAAGCATCTCCTGAGTTTTTGTGTATTACTTTATTTTTCCTCACAATTTTTCTGTTTCACAAATGAGGTCAGAAGCTTGCTTATCAAGGTCACAGAGCTTGGAGGCAGCAGGACCAGGGCTCACACCTTGGTCTGGGTGTTCTAGGGTCCATGAGCCTTGGGCACACTTCCACACTGAGGAACGTTTGGGTGGGTGGTGGTGGTGGGAAAGGCAAGTGGACAGGGAGGGTTACAGGTGAGAGCCTGCTGCATGGTAGGACTGAGAGCTGAGAGGTAATGTCGGCACTCAGGCTGACATAAAGGGCCAAGAGGGCGGTGGCTTCTTCGTGGTGAAGCTGATGTGAGCAAATCCGCAAACAGGTTTCAGAGAGAAAATGTCCCTTGGGCTTCCTGCCTGTTCTACAACCCCAGCTGGGAGGACATCCAGCCAGGGGAGCTTGTCTCCTAGAGCCAGGGGACAACGGACCAATCGTGACTCCTGCCCAGGCTCCAGCTGTTCAGGGCAACCTGCCCAGGCTGAGTGGTAGCACCCCAGGTGTCACCCCGGGCAACCCGTAAGCCAGGCCCCATCACCTTGATGTGTATGAGTCGGGGTTTTGGGGCAAGGGCTCTGTCAGAGAGCCCCCAGAGCAGTGGCCTGTCATGGAGTCGACTGCCTCCTCACTGGGGGCAGAAAGAATTGAGTGGGCAGGACAGGATGAAATGTACCCAGCATTCCCATTCATGCCGGGTGCTGAGGCAAAGGGGTTTAGCAGATGAAACTAACCTTACTAATGGGCTGATCTTGAAATAGAGGTTACCCTGGATTATCCAGCCTAACCCAATGTAATCCCATGAGCCCTAAAAACAGCAAAGACAGGCAGAGAAGAGGTGCGACAGAAGAGTCCACTAGAGAGACTGTACAGTATGAGGACCTGCCCACTGTTGGTGGCTCTGCTGGGGCCACAAGCCAGGAAATGCAGGTGGCTGAGAATGAACCCCAACTGACAGCTAGCAAGGAAAAGGGAACCTCAGTCCTGTCACTCCATGGAATCAAATTCTGCCAACAAGCTAAATGGACTTGGAAGCGGCTCCACCCTCATAAAGATGTAGTCCTGTGGACACCTTGATCTCGGCCTATGAGATGCAAGCAGGGAACCAGCAAAGTCACCCTCAAGATTTCTAACTTACAGGGCATTGTTTTAAACTGCTAAGTTTGTGGCAATTTGTTACAGCAATGATGGGAAACAAGTAAATCCTACATGAGCTATCTGAGGAGAGTTCACCCTGGCCTGGGAGTGGATAGCACAGGGCCTGGAACACTGTTGGTTTCACACTGCTCACAGGAAGAGAAAAGGCAACCACCAGGTCTGGGAGAGGCTTATCAGTCTTGAGTAAGGCTAAATTAATCCCCTCATGCAACATTTCAATTGAAATCAACATTTCACAGGGACTTGCTGCAACATAAGACCCTATTGGGTATCTGGACTCTTATCTCATGGGAAGAAAAATAGCCAAAAAGATGTGATGCAGTGAAATGGGTCCCCTGAGAGGAACAAAGTTCCTGTTGCTGTAAGAGGTCAAAGAAGGGTCACCAGTCCTGAAGGTTCAAGGTTTCCCAGGCCCTATCCAGGGTCTTTATGGTCCAGAAAGGAGGCCAGGTGGGCGCGGGCCACCCGAGACAGTAGGGACACAGAATGCAGAGAGCACGCATGGTATACTCAGGAGGCCACAGGAAAGACACATGGTCAGCAGGCAGGCCAGGGCAAGTTTCCGGAGGACTTTCAGGTCAGAAAGGGAAGTTAGGACTGTGGAGGCTAAGCAAAAGGGACACATCTTAGGACTGCACGCCCTGTAAAGCAAGGATAGCCAGGCCCACGCTGGTAGACCAAGGCACCCACTGCCACAGGCCCGCCGTAAATGAATTCATAATATGGTTTATGTATCCACCTCTCAGGCAGCTGTGTTGTCTGCGCCTGGCACATGGCAAACAACCTGCGTTAAAGGTAAATATAAAGACCAGGGCAGGTCCCTGAGACTGAAAACCTCAGGGGAAGCAGCAAGGAAGGGTGTCTAATGTACAGAACTGTACACACACACAAAAAAAAAAACAGCTGAGGGGACCACAGAAAGCAGCCACTTACCTGTGGCTTTTGCACAAACCTGGAAGCAGGCTCAGACGTCCCTAAGGAGCGTGGCAGCAAGGACACATGGTACTATGGCCACAAGACTCCCCGTTCTAGATGAGGAGACCTAGGTGCTTGTCTAAATGAGTTCTAGAGGTGGGAAATACACTCCATACTCGAGTCTCTGCCAAAAAACTGGGAGAGGCACCTAGGATCTTCTGGCTGCAGAGACTGAGCAGGACTTCTGTTCTAACAGGGAACACTGGGCTCTGCATGGAGCTGAGGCAGGCCCTTCCCCTCCTCGGGCTTCGCTCTGTGTGTGCTAGCAGCTGCCTTTACTTTAAATACGAAGTGCTTTCCATGTTTGGATGCTTCTAATCCTCAAAATAACCCTAGATACTTTAAATGACCCATTTCATAGTTCGACTAGTGCAGGAATTTTCAATTTCTTACTTGGTTGACAAACCTCTTCTCAAAAGGAAATAGTAAAAGAATAGCAAGACCCCTGAAGACCTCTAAGCCATCACGGTTCAAGTTTAACCCTAAGGACAGGCAAGGTTCCCTCAGTTGGAGTCTCCCAGGACTACCTGATTATCTCTGGCTAGGGTGGGAGGGTGTGAAGTTGTAGGGAGATCCCTGAAGGCTGGGCTGCCCACCCACACCATGTGTTAATGCTGGCCTAGGGTGCGGCCCCTGCTTTTCTCCAGGAGATCCAGAGTTACCAGCTGGCATGCGGATGGGGTCGGGGACGGGCTAAGGGTCCTAACAGCAGCAAGGACAGCAACCAGGGCTCTGCTGAACAGGGGCAAGAGGGGTAGAGAGCAGTATCCAAAGTGCCCGCTCCAAATCCCAGCCCTGAAGCAGCGCTGCAGGCCCTTGGAGACCATTCAGAACAACCCCCCAACCTAGGCCAGGCCCCTGAAGGAAGCCAGTGTGCCTGGGTTTCTCAGTGGGTGGGGACACAGGGCCTGGACACTGCTCCGTGGGCTTTGACCCAACGAGGGCCAACTCAGCCCAAATGTGTCCAGTCCGCTCGCAACCTGCGGCGTGGAGGGCGGGCGGGCGCCCGATGCACCCGCTCCTGGGGTCACGTCCACGTCAGGTCCCGGGGACGCGGCCTGGGGGTCCGACTCCCTCCCCGGCCGCAAGGGGCGGGAGGAAGACGCCCCCGGGGCGCGGGCACTGCGCCCGCCACCGCCCAGGCGCCGAGAGGCCGGGCAGCCGCCGGAGCCAGCCCCGCGGGCCGTGCTCGCGGGCACGTCCTCCTCCGCCCGCGCGCGCCCCGCGAGGCCGAACCCCCGCCTCGCTCGCGCCCCAGCCGCCCGCGCTCCCGGACCCCCAAACGCCCGGCCGCCCGCCCGGGGCCGCGCCCAGCCCGGAGGCGCCCCGCACCCCGCCCGGCCCGCCCGGCCCGCCCCCGCGGCCCGGAGGATGTGAGCTCATCCCGCCCCGCGCCGCGGCCCGGCAGGAAGCGTCGCCCGAGGTCGCCGCCGGCCGGGGAGTCCCAACGCGCCCGCCCGGCCGCCCCGGCTCCCGGCGCCGCCCGCCGCAGCCGCTCCGGACGGTACGCGGGGAGCGCGAGGGGGGCCGGGCCGCGCCCGCCCCGGACGCCGCGCGCCGGACTCGGGGGCCGCAGGGAGCGCGCAGGCCCCGCCCCGCCGCGCGCAGGCCCCGCCCCGCCCGCGCCGCCGCCCGCGCCACGTGACCGCGCCCCGCCCGCGCCACGTGACCGCGCGCGCACGTGTTCCGGCCTCCGGCCCCGCCGCCCGCCGCCCGCCGCCGCCTCCCGCCGGCCTCCAGCGCGCCCGCCCAGCCCCCGCCGCGGGGCCCCGAGGCGGCGGGCCCGGGAAGCGGCGGAGAGCGGTGCCCGCCCCGCCGGGCCGAGCGGCGGACCCGCGCGGGGGCGCGGCGGCCTCACCATGAACCCCAGGGGCCTGTTCCAGGACTTCAACCCCAGCAAGTTCCTCATCTACGCGTGCCTGCTGCTCTTCTCCGTGCTGCTGCCGCTGCGCCTGGACGGCGTCCTCCACTGGAGCTACTGGGCGGTCTTCGCCCCCATCTGGCTGTGGAAGCTCCTGGTCGTCGCGGGCGCCGCGGTGGGCGCCGCCGTCTGGGCCCGGAACCCGCGCTACCGCGCCGAGGGGGAGGCCTGCGTGGAGTTCAAGGCCATGCTCATCGCCGTGGGCATCCACCTGCTGCTGCTCATGTTCGAGGTGCTGGTCTGCGACAGGGTGGAGCGCGGCAGCCACTTCTGGCTGCTGGTCTTCATGCCGCTCTTCTTCGTGTCCCCCGTGGCCGTGGCCGCCTGCGTCTGGGGCTTTCGGCACGACCGGTCGCTGGAGCTGGAGCTGCTGTGCTCCGTCAACATCCTGCAGTTCATCTTCATCGCCCTGAGGCTGGACAGGATCATCCACTGGCCGTGGCTGGTGGTGTTCGTGCCGCTGTGGATCCTCATGTCGTTCCTCTGCCTGGTGGTCCTCTACTACGTGGTCTGGTCGCTCCTGTTCCTGCGCTCCCTGGACGTGGCGGCGGAGCAGCGCAGGACGCACGTCGCCATGGCCGTCAGCTGGGTAACGATCGTGGTGCCCCTGCTCACCTTTGAGGTCCTGCTGGTCCACAGACTGGACGGCCACAACGCGTTCTCCTTCATCTCCGTGTTTGCCCCCCTGTGGCTTTCGCTCCTGACGCTCATGGCCACAACCTTTCGGCGGAAGGGGGGCAACCACTGGTGGTTTGGTATTCGCAGGGATTTTTGTCAATTTCTGCTTGAAATTTTCCCATTTTTAAGAGAATATGGGAACATTTCATACGACCTGCATCATGAAGATAGTGAGGATGCTGAAGAAACATCAGTTCCAGAAGCTCCAAAAATTGCTCCAATATTTGGGAAAAAGGCCAGGGTGGTTATAACCCAGAGCCCTGGGAAATTTGTTCCCCCGCCACCCAAGTTAAATATTGATATGCCAGACTAAACTCCTAGGGAGCACCTGTAAGTGGGATGGAAACCATATACACACAGCACACAAAATTCACCTTTCTTTTTGCCTCATTGTTCATGCATCCCATAGCTGGAACTGAAAACAGGCTCCAAACACCATCCTCTCATGCCTTGTTTGAGATTGATGCCTATCAGTGACTATGCACCTTAGATGTAGGGGGTTATTTTGACATATGGCCCTGTGTGTGTGTGTGTGTGTGTGTGTGTGTGATGTGTGTGAGAGAACTTGCTTTCCAGATTGGGAGCAGTAAGTTGAATTGTTTGAGGAACACTGCTGGGTTGTTGATTTTTGTTTTGTCTTTAGTGGTACTGTACCTATCCAAAGTATTGTTTTTAAAAGTATTTTTATACACTGTTAGTGTAAAATTATATTTCAGATTGTGCCTATTGTGACATACTGCATAGCAAATGTAAAGAAATCTCTTTTCCACCACTTGTTTATCTCAGTTATTTCCACCACTTGTTAAATCTCAGTTATTATTTTTAGTGTTCCTACTGTTCAAATAGTTTTTCTTTGAGTATTGCTGATACTGGTCTTTAATATCCTGATAGGTGGATTTTTCTAAAGCAGTGAATTCATGCATATGATATTTATATGAATATTTTAGTGGTGTAATATATAATGTTGGATTCTAGTTCTATGCAGTACTATGTATTGTGTTAAAGTATTTTTTTAAGTTTCTATGTGAAGATCTATGTCTATTGTAGATGTCCTTAAAGATTACTTAAAACGTTAATATGTACCTGGTTTGGGATTTTATCAAAGTACTAGGCATGGATCTAGAGGTTGAAAATTCCATGGATCTTAATTTTTAGGTGTTAGGGGAGTCAGCTCAGCTTTAAGGTCTCCTAGTCAAGGCAGGAGCCGCCCCCATCCTTTGTGAACAGGCAGCATGCTGCAGGCTTATTTCAGCACCTTGAGTTTTTCCACACAGGCAGTAATATCTTCAGGAATAACCAAAATCAGCAACAGGTGGTCTGTCCATTTCTGAGAACTGAGAATATTAGTTAGCCATCATATAAAGCGTTGCTTCTACCGGACAGCTGGAGAGAGGGGGCCTTAACCAAAAATGGCCAACAGAGTATATATGGTCTTAAGGTCCAAACTTTTTGAATTCTCAGTAACAGGAAAATTATAGTTCAAGTAATTGTTTAAAGAAGTAAAGTGTTTCAGTAGGTGTTGGTGGCACACCATGGAATCCAAAGGGCAGCATTACTGGGAGGGTAATGTTCTTCTGGCTGAGAACACATAAATACTTTTAAAGGAGGTTAAAATTGAAAGACCTATTGCTGTTATTACTGGATAGAAGACTGAAGGGAATCCATTTTTATTGGTAGCAACATATTAAAAATTAAGTTGGGCTTCATATGAATTAATTTACCTGATGAGGGAGCATGCTGGCAGGAAACGCTGGCCACAGAAGCCAGCCTGGAACCTGGGCGTCTGAAAGCCTAAGGGTATAGTAGTGTGCTCTTGCACGCGCTTGCTCTTGCTCTTGCTCACTGTATCCCCCCACCCTGCCCCATGCCTTCCCTTCCCTCCTCCCCACACATAATCCATCTACACCAAGCATCAGAATGTGGGAGCAGCTGTGAGCAACAGTGACTGCAGTATTTCATAAGCAAGGACTCATTCACTCATTTTCTTTCATAAATACTACTCACTCTGAACCGGCCAGCCGCGCACACAGCATATAGTGAAAGGCCACTAGGAAGCTAGTGAGCACTGCAACACTTACCTGTGGGAGTGAACCAGCCCCGAACAGTGGATGATGACAAACCAGAAAGATGCTACTCACCTCCGGGCAACCCTTGCCTGGCACCTCAAAGTTCTCTTTTTCAGAAGCCCAGTGCCCCTTGATGGGGACATTGACTTACACTACAATTTGGGAGTGGAGGTGCAGGTTGCTGGAGGAATTGCAGGGCAGGTGGGGACAGCAGTGGGATTGCCCAATCCCTACCAGCTGCATTTTCAGACAAGGGGGCTTGTTTGCACCTGGTTGAATGTCTCCTAACCCTGAAGGCATCGCCCACACCTAATCCAGCTCACCTCCTTTGCCCCAGGCTGTCCTGGTGTTGAGGAATCAGGGTCTGAGTATGATGATGAGCTTCTCTTGTCCCCTGTCAGACATCCGCTTCTAGACCATCAGATAAAAACAGCAGGAAGGGCAGGTTGCAGAAAGTTGTCTCATCTGTAAAAGTTTATACCATCTCAGCTGCATGGGAGATCTGCCTAATTGCCATGCTACTCTTCTCCGTGTTTAAAGTGTCAAAATCTGTAACACTGTAGTTGCTCCTTATGATGATACAGGCAGCATTTGCTGCAAAACCACCTCGGAAATCGCAGTGGCCCTCAACTGCAAATTCTCACTCTCAGGTTTCCACGTTGGTTATGGCCGCGACTAGATGCCCGGGCCACGGGTCTGCTCCAGGTCTGCTCCACAAGGCACCCCTTATTCTATTCTGGGTCCTAGGTGAAGGAGCAGCGTTCCCTGGGGCATGTTCTTGCTCAGGTTAGAAGCACAAGAGGCCAGGCCAAACCCTGCAAGCACAAGAACAGCCCCTGCTCACAGGTAATTCCTGTCAGGTGTACCTGTTCGGCTGACCAAAGCACAAGCCATGCCCACCTCAATGTGGGCTCACTCACACTCGAGGAATGAGGACACGGGCCATACAAATGTTGCAGAGTAGTTTCAAAGCTGAAAAGGAATCACAAAATTGGTGTTAGGTCATGAATAATTTTTTCCCTCTGTTTTACAAACATTTTGTAATTTTTTAAAATTGTTTGATACTGTAACAATAATTAGAAAGGAATCTATTGGGATGCAGAGGGCAGGGGATTTGAGGGCCAAAGGAAGACCCTGCACTCAGACCCCTGTGGAAACTGGAGGCTGCACACAGGACGGATTTATGGCAGGGTTCTCCTCCAGAGCTTCCTGGGTGTCTGCAGAATCTATGGAAAGGTCAAGCCTGAGCATGGGGAGACCAGCTGGGCAGGAGGGAAATGAAGGAGCAGAAGAGGGTGGTGAGGGAAGAGGCAGATGCTTCTGCTCCCGGCCACCTTCCCCAGGATTTTGCATGGAAACTATGGGGAGAGAACAGGCAGCTCAGGCTGGCAGGAAGGCTGGATCTAGCTCAGCAAGCAGGCGGGATCTAGGGAAGTTGCTGCAAACCCAGGCAAGGTTGTACCTCAGGACCATCTGGTGGGGATGATGCAGCTTGGCCAAATGCCACTGCCACCAAAATAGTAAATGCCACCAGTGTCACCCCCACTGCCACAAGTTCCCGACTGTCTGCCATACGCCAGGATGAATGGAGGAACAGCATGTTTGCGTAAGCCTCAGGTGTGTGTTCATTCTACAGCTTCCAGAGCATGAGAGGAGAGGTTATATCTGGATCCTTTTGCTTTGGTAGGATGCAGGACTCTACCAGAACTCACTTTAGAGAATTTGTCCCAAAAGGAAGTGTGTTCAGATGCCGGTAAGCAAAGGTGTTGACAAAAGTGCAGGACATCAAGCCCCTCGCTGACAGACTCCACCCTGCTTCCCAGTCTAACATTTCAAATACACCCCACCAAGTGCACAACTGTCTGGTTCCTTCTGGAAGGAACAAGGGAGACAGTCCAATGAAGCTTATTATTACTTCATCCAACTCTTTCTCTAGGATATTTGGAGATGTCGCCTTCCTCTAGTTCAGGGCTCCCTCCATAGCCTGTAGAACGCGTGCATGGAAGTGCACGACCACAGCATGCCCTGCAAAGTGCTGTCCAAGGAGCGCTGGAGGTCCAGGCGGTCCTCCCTTCCCCAACCACACTGCAGGGGGAAGCCCATTCTCTGTGTATCCTTCAGCCAATGCTGCAGCAGAAGCACAGAAGCAGACTTAAGCTTGCAGCCGCCTTTACCTAGCAAGACAGCAAATGTTTGCCAAGATGCAAAAATAATGCCACTCTTTTCATCCTTTTTTTTTTTTTTTTGGTGTTTGTTTTGGAAAATAAGGGTATTTTTCATTTAAAAATGTTAATAAGTTTATTGTTTCAAAATAAATTATTGTAGTTTTTGGCTTTGGTTTCTACCATGGTTAGTGTTGCTCTAGCTCACATCAGCCAGTGCTCCTTGGGGTGTTCAGTAACTTTGAGGAGTATTAAAGGGGTCCTGTAACCAAGAAATTGAGAATGGCTGCCCTAGATTATAGCAAGGGGGGAAATTAAAATCGGGCGACATATACTAACGTCTGTGTGACCTAGCAGGGAAGGAAAAGTAATAGGCACGGTCTCCTCTGCAGGAGCTCACAGAATGGCCTCTGCCAGTCTCTACACTCCTGTGTCCTCATGGCCCTGGACGTAACTCACACCTTCTTTCAGTGGGTGCCTGAGACCATTGCAGGTCTTGCTGGTGAGCTTTGTTTAGTTTCAGCTCCTGCTGAGAGCGCCTAAGGCACCTCTCCTGGGTGTGGCAGCAGCACTGTTTCCCCAGCCAGCTGTTTGCAGGATGTCCTGTTGTTATGCAGATCTACACCCTGCAAGGGAGGGGAAGTGGGTTTTGAAACTTCTCTACCACAGCACTCACTCCTCTCCCCACTCACCGCTTGTCCCTCCCGTGTGCACCCAGTCCGCACCCAGCCATAGCCAGATGCCCAGGCCTTGCGCTCCCTCCCCGACATCAGTCACACTGTGTGCTGAGCCTGGGGCCACAGGGTTCGTCACATCCCACCCCGACCCCTGATGGTGTCCTCACAGGCCCATGCTCTTCTGGACAAGTGCCTCCTCCAACCCTGAGTGTCACCAGCCCTCCTTCCCCTTGTCACTGCCTGGCCCCCTCTGGCCTCACCTCAGCCCAAGCCACTCTCTAGACCGAAACATGACTGACTGCACGCGTGGTTGGAGTTCCATCCCCGGCAGCCATGCTAGCACTTTCACCTGGCCTTGCCGGCAGTGAGTCCTCTGTTCAGTCTCATCACCAGCCAGAGACCATCCCAGGAAGTCAGGCCCCCCACGCACTGGGTGACCTTCCCCCCTCATGAAAGCAAAGTCGGCCTCCTCCCAACCCCCCACCCCTGCTTGTGTGTGGCCATTGCTCCAGGCGAGTGCTGGTGACCAGTCAGGGCTGTCTCTGCCCACCCCAGGCTGGCCCACTGCTCCCCACACATCCATCCCCACATGCCCACCCCTGCAATATCCAGCATGTTTAATGACAATATCCCCCCGCCTTGGGTGGGGGGAGGTTGCTGTCCTGGTCACACATATTTTGAATATCACTTGCCCCCTTCTCTACTCAAAGCCTGAACTGCCCTTCTCTTGATTCCAACTTTACTTAGTCTCCCACCCAGTCCATGGTCCCTGACTGGCTTTTGTTCCTGTGGACAGGACACTGGACTGGCCAACCCTGAGGACCAGGCCAGCCCTTCTCCCAGCTCAGGAGCACTCACTGTGACCTACAGTGCCTCTGAAAATGTCAGGAGCATCTGAAGACCTGGGAGACCAAGGCGGTGGCCACCTAGACACAAGACCCACTTTCAGGAGGCCAAGCAGGCCTAATGTCCGTTCTAGGATGTTCTCTGACACCACCATTCTTCCAAGGGGCTTTCAGCAAAGGCCACAAGTGGGTAGGAGGAGCCTTGCCTGGGAGGTCCCTGCGGCCCCTCCAACCCATAGACCTGCTTGAGGACCCTTACTTAGCCAGTGAGAAGGGGCTTTCAGAATAGGCCATGTCAGCCGGCTCCACTGATGGCCTCGGCCAGCCCTAGGGGGCTGAGTGAGGGCGAGGTCCCAAAAAAGAAGGTTCAGGGGCCTCCCTGGTGGCGCAAGGGGTTAAGACGTAACCTCTTGAAGCTATCCGCAGCCACCGCAGTACTACTTCGATCCCCGGCCAGGGAGCAACCCACATGGTGCAGCAGACCTCTCCTGACTCTCCTGCTGCTCCCCTCAGCAGTGTATTTCAGTCGATCTGCCTGGTTTGTTCCCCACTCTGTCTCTGGTAAATCCTCTCACCCCCACACCTCTGGCCTGTACCCCAGCTCTTGTATGCATAAATAAATAAATCTTTAAAAAAAAAAAGAAGGTTTAGGCCCTGCCCTCAGGAGGAGGGCCCACCCCATACCACAAGGTCAAGTGACTGTCAGTCACTTGTCAAAAATACAGGTTCGGTCAGCTCATGCTGCCACAACTAAGTACCATAAGCTGGGGGACATGAACAGTAGAAATTTATTGCTCACAGTTCTGGAGGCTGGAGGTCTGAGATCAGGGGCCAGCGTGAGTGGGGCCTGGTGAGGGCTCCTTCCTTGCTGCAGATGGCGGCCTTCTCGCTGTGTTCTCAGGTGGTGGAGAGAGAAAGCCAGCTGTCTGGTGTCTCTTGTTATAAGGCACCAATCCCGTGGTGGAGCTCCTACCCCCATAACCGCATCTAAACCTAATTATCTCATAATACCACAGTATTGGGGGTTGGGGCTTCAAGGAATGAACAGGGCAGCGGGGGCTGGGGAGCACGACTCAGTCCAGAGCATTCACAAGAGGCCTGAGATGGGAATCACACCTAAGTTGCACTCGGCTCACATATCCTGAGCGCCAGCTGTGTGCCAAGTTTGGGGGGACTCACCACAACTGAGACGTGGCGACCACCCTTAGAAATTTCCAGTCACCCATAGGTACCCAGGTCTGACACTGTCCAGTGATGCAAAGACCCATGTGCTGGAGGAACTACCTGAACCCACAGGGTCTCAATGCTGCTCCTAGGAGGAGGAGAGAGAGGTGGGAGCAGCCAGCCCAGGGCCACAGAGACAAAGAAGAACGATCAGACGCCTTGGCGATCATCAGTCGTGACTCAGACAGTTAAGAACATCGTGAGAAATCCAGAGCAAGAGTGGCCAGTGCACAGGGCACCTTCATCAAGGAAGGCAGGCCTTCCACCTTCTGCGAGGCCATCCTCATCTTCTCCCAGGCCTGCCGGGGTTCCCATCATGGAGAGAGGTGGGCACACGGAGGGCACCTGGCAGCAGCAGAGGGCGGCCTGCACGTGGGGCAGAGGGGCGTTCAGAGGGGGCTGTGTGTCCTTCTGTGCTCAGTGGAAGTGAGAGAAGGAGTGGAGGTGGGGGAGACTTCTAGAAAATTCTCTATTCCCAGCTCAAGTAAAGAAGTGGACTTTTTGAACTCTTTATGAAATTGCCTCCAGTGTCTGCATTTCCTTTTTTTAATAACAATAAGAAATTTATGACCTTGCATGACTGAACATCTCAAGAGAGGACTGGCGGTGGACTGCAGGCCCAGCAGCATCCTGACGTGAGCCAGTGCCTTTGTCCTGCCATCTCTGCGGCCTTGTGGCTGCCCTCTGCTTGGGCACCACGGCTCCAGCTGCCAGGTCCAGAGCCACGACAGAGCATCTCATTGGTCGGTTCCCAGGAGTGAGGAAACCTCTCCTAAAAGCCTTCCAGCAGATTCCTGCTGCCTTCTTATTAGCCGGAATTGGATGACACACTTATTCTTTTATAATTGAGGTAAAATATACATATAACATAGAATTTGCCATTTTGCCATTTATAAGTGTACAATTTAGTGCCATTAATTATATTCACATGTGAGTCCAGGCCTCCAAATCATTTTTTTTTTAAAGATTTATTTATTTATTTATTTATACAAGCACTGGGTACAGTCAGAAGCACAGGAGGGTGAGAGAATTCACCAGAGCCAGAGCGGGGAGCAGAGCAGGCGGAAGGACCGAAGTACACTGCTAAGGGGAGCAGCGGTCGGCAGGAGAGGTCTGCGCGCCATGTGGGACCCTCCTCTGGTGGCCGGGGAGCAGCTGGGGATCGAATCGGCGCTGCAGAGGCTGCGGGCAGCTTTGCAACCCAGCGCTCAACCGCTGCGCCACCAGGGAGGCCCTCCAATTCATTTTTAGCCAGGCTGAGCTTCTCAATATTTTAATGTCGTCCCTCTATAAAGGCATGAACTCCAGTGGCCAGAATCTTGGGTTTTTTCCTTGAGTAAAATAGACTTTACTATTAATAAAACAACTTGCTAGAATCTCTCAGCAGTGGGGTTCTGGGCCTGGCCCAAGACTCTAGGGGCACTGGCAGCAGCAGAGACAGAACCTCATGGCCATCAGCAGGTCCTCAGCATGGCCATTAGCATGGCCATCAGCATGGCCATCAGCATGGCCCAGGGACTGGCAGTGACAACTTTGGGCATCAGGACTCTTGTCCCCAGGAGAGGGCTGAGAAAACTGGGGAATATTCTTCTTCGACCAGCATCAGTGAAAGGGGAGAAGGAAGTACAAACCTAGTGGAAAGTGCCCCCAAACCATCCTTATACCCTGATGCTCTCAGACCCTGTTAAGATATTTTACATGATCCCCAACACAAGGGACATACCTGGATGGGGGGGGGTTTACTAAACTGTCTACCAGCACCACACCGTCTTGATTACACTTTATAATAAGCCTGAGTCAGGTAGTGGGAATCCTCTAACTCGGTTCCTCATTCTAAGTCTATATTTGATCCTTTTTGTTTATTCTACGTCTTTTATTTTCCACAAGAATTTTAGAACCACATAATCAGCTTCTCCATAATAGCCTGCTAGGATTTTGATTGGAATTGTATTGAATCCATGGATCAGTTGGGGGGAAATTAACATCTTAACAATATTGCGACTTCTTTGTCTTCATTAATTTTCCTCAGTAATGCTTGGTATTTCTTAGTATGCAGGTTTTGCACATTTTAAAATCAGATTTCTTCTTTTTTTGAATTGTATTATTGTAACTTTCATTTCTAGTTTTTGTTGGTCAAGTAGCCACTGTAGCATGAGTTCAATCCCCAGCCAGGGAGCAACCCACATGGTGCAGCAGATCTCTCCTGACTCGCCCGCTGCTCCCCTCAGCAGTGTATTTCAGTCAGTCTGCCTGTTCTGTTCCCTACTCTGTCTCTGGTGAATCCTCTCATCCCCCGCACCTCTGGTCTATACCCCAGTTCGTGATTGCATAAACAAATAAATCTTTAAAAGTAAATAAATAAATAAAAATTTTAAAAAGTATAGAAATAAAGTTGTGTTTGTTTGGATCTTACATATGAAATCTTGTTAAACTCACTTA